TAAATGAGTAAATTTCCCGGTTGATCAGTACGAACTAATAAAGGCATGGTACCGAATTGTTGAACCTGATCGTCTGCCCTTTAGACTTGTATACTTCATGCTCAACTAATTACCGAGGACAAAATGAATAAAATGACTTGATACAATTGTTAACGTCATTATATTAACATATTATTTTTTTAATTTATTTTTCTACAAAGAAAAAGTGAATACGATTGAAGATAATAGTTTAATTCCGACAGAAGATTGTACATGTGTCTTACACACAAATTGTTCATGTATCTTACACACAAATTGTACATGTGTCTTACAGAATCCTGACTTCCTCTTTACTATATCACACTTACACATCTGTATCACACATGTACATCTGTAGTACACATATATATTTGTGTTATACACATATACAGGTATACTATATTTATACATCTGTATTACACATATACATCTGTATCACACATACATCTGTAGTACACATATAAATCTATATTACACATATGTGGAGAGGAAATCTAACGGGAGGGAGGCGATGAATTAAGACTTCTGACTTAATTATCAATTATATTTTTGTATCCAGCGAAAGTAAGTTAGTTAGCTACTAGCTACGTAGCAGGTTTCACTTAAGAATATCCTCTGCTCAGTATACTAAATGGATAGTTTCACTACAGTAACGTTATGTCGTTTTTCTGTTGGATTCTATGTTAATTTACATTTAATTAAAAACACTTTTTGTGACTTCTTTTGACATCCAATCTTTATAAACCTTGACATCCTGTTAATTATCCAGAATCATCTAGCGTTTCCTGGTAATATTTTTATAATTATCCGTCGCTCTTTAATTGCGTTGTAATTTTTCATCCTACCATAAAATAGTTATACCTTGGCGTCATTTCCAAAGACACAGTGTTAAATTTTGCCGTAAAAAATTGTCATGGTTAGAACTCTATGAAATGGATGATTATATTAATATTTCCATTAGAAGAGCTACAAAATTATCTAGCTTTCTGCTGAATTTTGTCTTTTGACTGAAAAGGAAGCCAGGAAAATTATTTTTCCAAAAGTAAATGATAAAAGAATCCAATGAAAAAATAGCGTTTACGTAAAAGGCTCATGACACGCCACTGTATAAAGGGGTGTGCTATTATATGTAATTTGTTATTTTTTGAACCGCTCAAAACTTTTGTTTGCTCAATGAAATTTATGGGTACTTGAATTGTATATATACTGTGTTATATGATCTGTTATATTACATATTGGTGTCTGAAAATCTTCATTTTGGATTAAATAAAGATATTTTCTCTCTTTTATTCCTCCATCATTGAAGATTACAACATGTGATGTATATGTACATACAATTAATTGTAAATATTATTGTACAAAAGAGAATGAGATTATTGGAACACATGAATGAAATGCAAGAAAATGTATACAGAATAAGTTAATAAGTTACACAGATATAGTAAGAGAGGTATTAGTTGCATGGCAGAACAACTGTCGAANAGATACTTGTAGATTGGGAAAATAATGTCGTGTCGAAATACATCTCAATACTTATAATATAGTTTGAGCCTTTCATACATGAAATCGATTGATAATAACCTTAATTCTTCCAAATCTTGTTTGCTTATTTCAAATTTATATTTCTCAACCACATAATGTATGAAATAATTCAAAGTCGGATTGACCGTGTAGGTAGACGCTAAACATAATATTGCATACATTAGCAGTACTACAGCACCACTGGTCCCTTAGATGGTCCGTATAGGTACAATTTAGTAGTATATGACTAAAGTAACATCTGTGTATAAAACGCCACATTTATGACATTAATTATTTGTCTCATCATTGCCGATGGTTACTACCAAATGTTGTACATAAATATTTAAATTATATTTGGGATATTTCATTGCAAGTTTCCAATATATATGTGAAGTTAAACTATCGTGGATAAGTACAAATCTGTTAAAATCACTGTCAAATAACATTCTCTCTTTCATAATATAGGCCTCTTTCTGAAGAACTGAGTTTTTAACTAATGTCTTCCACTAATTTTTCGGAGGGAAAACACCTGATTCTAAATAAACGTTCAATGTTTGATATAAGTTATATTTTTAAGCATATTCGGATTAAATAAAAACGACACGAAAAATAATGACGTCGATACAATATAGCCTGCGTACCAGAAAAATCTAAAAGTTAAAAACTTAAATGTGACAGTCCGGGGAAAAATAAGAATACATTTTAATTGAATAATTGGAATCAAACAGGTGATCCGGTTTTCCTTACGTGATCATTTCAACAAGAAAATATGTAAATTGTAATTTGTCCCCCTCAGTCTGCATACAAGCAGATTGACACTGATTACGGCTAATAACTTTCCCGACCCGCGGGACTGACTCGCTCCGACCCACGTACGTTTGTAACATATCTCTAGGGTCACTATTACATAGAATGACTAATAGTGTCATTAAATTGATTTCCATAATATCATGTATTTTCATGTATTTTCCCCGACCCCTAGGGGATCATCTCGACCTCATGGGAGCCTTTTGCTATGTCGGTCTATTCCGAAATTGGTATTTGTATTATGTGCAGATGTTACATTTATCTTAGAACTTTTTGCCCTGCCTCTCCCCACGGGACTTACAATTTTTTTCTACGACATCAACTACAATCCAACAGTTTATTTCTTTTTACAATTTTATATCAAAATATTGACTCTTTTATATCATAACCACCAAATCATTGCTAGGTTTGTGATATTTCTTAGGCGACGATATCTTATTTTATTATAATACCAAAATATATTTATGATTCTGACCACGTCAATTACAATATCGCTAGCTTCACGGAGAAAGACAATTATTTTCATTTAAAACTTGTTACCCCCGGGATTTGATGTTCGAGCCATGAAACCCCTGCTAGGCAACATGTAAAAACATATGGAAAGCTAGTTTCTTTTGTTTCAATACTAGCAGATTGACACTGATTATATTTAATACGTTGCCCGACCCCCGGGACGGACTTACTGAAACCCACAGTCACCTGTGATTGATCCCGGGGGTCACGATTGGATTCGATGTCAAGATTTAAATTGAAATTCATGTATGACACACTGTCCTCGTGTCAGCACGCCTGTCTGTCCCGACCCTCGGGATTCAAGCCCGGGTGTAACTTATCTTGTAAGAGAGCAATCTTATTACAATTACTATCAATTAAAACACGGAAAACATCATAATTGTTTTACCGTGCTTTCCTGGCAGGAAATCAAGATTCGGTATGCGTATTGGTGTTTATTTTTAAACTTGAAATTTGAACTTAATTTTGTTCATATAATTTCAAAATACATGTCTGATATATTTTCAATTCTAATAACAATGTTGTCAATATTTTCTGAAATAGAACATAAAAAGTAAAGCTCATTCAAGGTAATAAAGAAGCTTTATTTTCAAATAAAACAACTCATGTTCCTTGCATTTTCCTTCTTACCATTTCAGTGATTTCGGAAATGGCTGATATATATAATGAAATATTGTGTGTGGTATTCCCCCGCCCTATTCTCGTGATAACATATTTTGTGTCAGCCCTTTCATCCACAAATACGTTAAAATGGCCTGCTTCCTTATAATAAATTCAATCTGTTTCGACTTACTGTGCACATAAAATTGTTAAAATGTAATCAAAAGAAATAGCATGTTTTTTTCATTAATGATCCTGACTTTTTGATAAAGATAACAGTTTATGAGTATCGAAGAGGTATTAAGATTTAAGCTTCGAATTTCACTATTCTTATTTTTCACGAAGAATATTGATGATAACACGTAATTACTATATAAACCCATTATTATTTAGATTTTTAAACTAAACACGATTTCGTAATCGCAGATCTGTTTTTCATTAACTCGGTTTATTGAATTAAATATATTTATTCATTCATTCTTTCATTCATTCGAACATATTTTATTGAAATTAAACAGTCAAAAGTATTAGGCACACCCTATTAGGCCATCTACTAACAATTTGATACAAAATAAGTACAAATATATCGTGATGACTAAAAACCCAACATATATTATGTACTAATAATTGATATGCAAAATTGTTAATTCATTCATTCTTAATTTTATTCATAATTTCATCCATCCATCCTTCCATTCATTTATTTTCATGTTTTTTTCATTTTTTTTTTATATATTTATTTATTTAAAAGGAATTCTGCAACATGCACTAGCTCTCTTTACCGTCGTTAGTTTTACATTATTTTCCCCATAATATCCAGTATTGTAAGTTCAATTGGGCGTTTTAAATATTGAAATCAAAACTGACAAGAATCCTCGTAGAAAAAGCAGAATTAAGAATTTCTTTTTGAAATACAATAGTTTTTGTGTAAGCTTCGTTATTTCTAATTAAATAAAATGTTCAAAAATATCATTCTCGGTCACATATAGGAACTCTTAAACGTCAGTACAGTTGTATAAATTAAATACATTGGAGAAAAAATGCCTTTTAAACGTATGTTTATTTACAAAATGTAAAACAGCTGTGTTGACGTTTGAAATAGGAGGATTGTATACACGAATATATATCACAGCCAGTGTCAGACGACCTCACAATACTTTTCAATTTTAACTTTTGAAATATTCTCGATGAATTTTCAGCTTCGTTGAACTAAGTAAGACAGAAATGTTTTAGGAGAATAATTCAATACTTTTCGCAATATTCTCACACATATTTATTTACATCTTGTTAATAATTTACTCGATAAAGTAAATACTGGTGGACAGTTTGCTGTCAGTCTACGGGTACGACTTTCAGAGGATGTCCCGAGGGCGGTTAATTATCTCGGCTGATGAGCTACGAATAGCGAAAATAATTTAAAGTGGGCGTGTCTTTGTAGCTAATCAACCGTGATAACTGACAGCCAATGCATTTGGAGATTTGACCGCCTGGATAGCTTTAAAAGACCAACGATCCCAAACCATCGGCACTTCATTTCACACAACTGAAACAGGCATACAAGTCAGCGTACGTGGATTTTGATTTTATTATTTTGTAAAGAGTGTTTCCACCCATCAAAGAACTTAAAAAATGCATTCCAGGGAACTTGACATGAGTCTGGAAAGTATCAATGTTGACGTGAACGATTCGTTCAATCAGTCAGAGCTGGAATCATCTTTTGATGCTAGGGACGTGACTGCTAGCGACTGTAAGAGTGATAGCCGATATTATAAAGATCATCGTCACTCGAAATCTGAAGTACCCGATGACATCAGACTAAGAATCAACGGCCGTGAAAGACAACGCATGCATGACTTAAATTCGGCCTTGGACAGTCTTCGCCAGGTCATGCCTTACTCCCACGGACCATCGGTCAAGAAAATTTCCAAGATGTCCACGCTATTACTTGCCAGGAATTATATTGTAATGTTAACGAAATCTTTGGAGGAGATGCGCAAACTCGTGCAGGACATGTCGACCACAAAACCAGCGGAAGCGCCAGTGTTGCCATCTATTGCTATCCCTACGGCAACCCACGTAACAGCGCCCCCTAGTGATTTGGGAGGACACTTTTATTATCCAAGTATACCAACTCCGTCGTCCAGATTCTCTCCGTACAAGGCCCCAGCATTTGTTCCTTATATGGACCCTCCAACACAAACGTCGACTCCAGTATCAAAACGCGTGACATCATCAAAAAGGTCACTTTCGACTCCGCTGTATGATTCTACGAACACTCACACGCGTACCTCAGTGCCATTCAAACATTCTGTGTCAGCAATTTTGGAAGATAAGAAACCTTCCCAGACAGTTCTATGTAAACCAACGCCATCTATGTATTCTCTCTGCGACGATTCACAAGCGATCCTATCTGGAGCTGTTTCGAACGTCCATCCGCATTTTCTCGGGCTCCCTCGGCAGGATTGGAAGCCAATGTATTGAAAGACAATATGGTGATAAGTGAATCAGAAATCAAACTATGGAACCTTGTTAGTTATTTGGGACATCAATTGTGATATAATAATGTAAATACTTCATATGACTTTGCATGCAATTTTCTACATATTTTTCGTATATATGCCTTTTTCTACTCTTTCACTGTCGATCTAACTGTTTGTAAATTTTGTAAAAATCTGTATATTTGTTTAAAATTCAAATAATTATATTAATTGTGAAATACACGGCTGTATATAATGTAAATATGATGTAAAAATTATCAGAGATTCCGAAATACAAACCTATTAACATAAACCATTTGTTTGTTTTTGTAAACAGTTCTTGTTTTGTTAATGGTCATTTTCTGCAATTTCAAAAGCTTGCGGTAACATCGGATTTAAGTTGTCCTTAAATTGAGTTCGAAATATTGAAATGGAATTGCAGATTAAATGTCCGTTAACACGATTTTATCTATGCTATACCTAATTTTTCTAGAACTGTAAAGATAAAGTGATACCTACAAGTATCGCGATAATCTAGGGGATGGTACACGAATCGTTTCGCTACTTCAATATATCGCAATACATTGGAAGACGATAAATATTCTGCAACATCAGTATCGCGATTATTGGAGGACGATATGTGCGTCTAGTCTCGCTATATTTCAAGAAACCAAAAAAAAAATACTTTTTATAAAATATGTATATCCATCGCTTTGACATCTCTATATTGCGATATTGTTTAAAAGCGATACAAATATCTTACTGAACATACAAATATCGGTGTCGTCTCACGAAGCATACATTTGGTATTTTCCTGTACAGAGATAAGGTGTTGGATGTATGTAAGGTGAGATTTGGTGTCAGTTAGGGAACAATAGGATTTAATTACAGGTAAACTATAGTCTGAACTATAAAGTGTCTTACCATATGAATATGAACGTATACATATTACGTATTATACGTCACTGATCTAATATAGTCTTCATCATTATAATAGGGAATATCAGATGAAATGTCCTAACTTTACATATTATTACAATGCAATACAATTTGTTTTATTTAAGTGTCACATATCGATATACATTGAAACTACAGCAGATTTTACAAAAAGTAAAAGCTACATGAATTTCAAAACTTAAATCGATCAGTTATCAACATCCAGCCAAATCTGGCTTATGAGACACTAAAAGTCATTATCACACCTTAAAATAAGTAAAATCACTAGCACTGTACATAATTATATAAAGTTAAAACATAGGCGCCTGCTAAAGTCGATCCGGTAAAGGTGTAACTGGACGAGAATACCGACCGGTTTCGACTTTTAACTTAATTTTTTTTACACGACATTCCCAACTTCTCCGTTTTCCTTTTGACCACTAATGTATTTTATAGACTAGTATATCGTGAACGGTTCCATTAATCCTTAACCAGAGCATACAGACCTCCACTTTCTGTTCCACGTCACAGGAACTACAACCAAGATCGCCACTTGTGGCGACATTGGTCACATTTCTTCCGGTATCGAAGAAGTAGCGGCACACTTTATTATTATTTCTCTGGTCAAGGTTGTAACATCATTATACAATTGTTGAATAAATTGGTCGTGCAAGATTGTTTTCAATGAATGTTTCAAAAATATGTAAGTTCAGTCCGAGTTACTAGTATTTCATTAATATAATGTAATCATTTAAAATGACAACGAAGGGTTATTTCACGTTAAACTGTACATCATAGTGTACACATTACTCCATTATTTATGCAGTATAATGGTAAACTCATATTCAAAGTAGTTTCATTAAAATATTATTATCCCGTCTATACCACATGCCTACGGTGCTATTAACCAATACTTTATGACGATATATGGTACAAATTGTTTTCTTCGATTTTATCTTACGAGTATATTCCTGTAAATTATAGAATACATATATGTCTCAGTAGATAAAATACTTCTTTGCATTCATTGAGACTGGACGAAAAAGAAATGTTCCTTCAGAACAAAGACATTGTAAGGAATGTGCCTCCACAGACATGACAGATGAATTTCGCTTCTGTTAATTTGTTGTANTGTACATCATGTACCACATATAAGCGCCAATAGCCCCAGCTTTGAATAAATGTTGACAATATTGACATTTGTGATATTATGATAAGTGGAAATGATAAACATTTTTCCTATCTACAGTGTATGTCCACACAAAATCAGCTTGAGATTGAAATTTTGCAGACATAACCATAAAATAAAGGAAAAATAAAAACAACATTCAGTCAACTGTTATTGTATCAGTTGAAATTTATAGATAATGCATTACAAAATTTTAAATAATCTTTGTATTAAGATTAGTTTATGAGGCTTTACTTAATCAACAATAATTTAAGATTTCAATAAAATGTAGGCGGCTAGTACTGTATCTGTTATAATATCTGTAAAATCGTTATTATTTTCAGGTTAAATAAATGAATCCATTTTTTTTTAATATTCATATTTCATCTACTACCACGTGTCATTATAATTCTTTACAAAGAAAATGGAATATTTCTCTGATTAAAGTAGACATAAGTTCTTAATTATAATATGTATCACAATACCATCTACATCATTTTGAAACAGACTATAACCAAATTGTGATCAGGTGTGAAAATTGAAATGTATGCTAGGTGAGACTAAACCCAAATATCGATTTGCTAAATCTGTATTGCGATATTGTTTGAACGCGATACAAATATCTTACTGAACATACAAATATCTTACTGAAGATACAAATATCGCTTTGAGACCCCTGTATTGCGATATTGTTTGAAAGCGATACAAATATCTTATTGAACATACAAATCAAATATCTTCCTGTAGATACAAATATCGCTTTGAGACCCCTGTATTGCGATATTGTTTGAAAGCGATACAAATATCTTATTGAACATACAAATCAAATATCTTACTGAAGATACAAATATCGCTTTGCCACCTCTGTATTGCGACATTGTTTGGTATCGATAAACTAATCATTTCCCCGTCCATGTACCACGATATTTTTGAGAAATTACATGTATCGTTTCGCTATTTACATATCGACGATATCGCAATATTTTGATGTATTCTAAATTATATATATTATAATATGGCATTTTTACACAAAAAAACACCATTGAAATTCACAAAGAAAATTTTATTTGGAGAGATTTAGAAGGATTGTCTGCAGACCGAAAATAAACTTACACATACAATATTTGTTAATATCTAGAAATTTATGTAAAATCTATTTTGAAAATTTCAATTAAAAACTTATTAAGCTAATTATACTTTGAACACTTGTACCAAGAAAGTACTTTATGATAACGAAATACCCTGAAACCCGTCAAATTCTAACTTCAAAAGGAATTTTCGGAAGAGTCGGTGTCTGATTATTTTAGACAGATAGATACATGTAGTACAAGTTGTGCTCTATATAGAACCGAACCGCAATCGGGAACTGTCGGCATTTTCCGTAAACGAGAACTTTATTTTCTCGTTTACGGAAAACGCCGACGGTTTCCAATGGCTTCAACTCATAATACAAAAATTATTTCAAAGAGCAGATAGAAAACATTCTAAGGAAGGTTATATAGTCTGACCGAACCGATACCTAGCGGAGAAAAATTGTACTAAGGTAGGTAATCCAGACTATATATCCAATATTTTTCTCAAACCATCTAGAACTATTGTAACACTTGTATGAGTTACTTGTATGTTTTTCCTTTTTTTTTTCGAGTTTTGAGTTGGTGACGAAATGGTTGAGTATCGATATTTTCAAATCTGATATCAACTTACTCTTTCCCTGAAATAAAACAGTATGCTTAGTTATTTTAACTGAATGATCTTTTATCTGTTTCTAACGAAGTCATGGTAGTGCTAATGTTTTATTCCTCGAGTGGGATGAATGTCAAAGTAAGTCGTGTCAGTGCGATTATTTAGTCTCCCTCGAATATGAACATAAACATAAACAAAGATAACTGGAAAACTATCGATTGACCTTCTCAAAATTTCAGAAATCAAAATCGAATAGGAGAGAAAGTCATTCTAATAAAAATCATATCTTCACATCGCTCCCGTTTACTGATATGTCGAGTCAACGCGACATATCAGTAAACAGGAGCGATGTGAAGATATAATTTTAATTAGATTGAGAGAAAGTAGGAACAGTGTTTTAAGCTCTTGTGTATTTGTGTGTATAAGCCCCCGAGTCCCTCATTTCGGTACTTTTCTATTTGGTAACGCAGATCTTCCATTACTATTCTTGCTGTGACGTAACGTCGGATGTTGACGCACAATAGTGTAACATACTTTTGACGTCATTTCGTTTCAGGTTTGACGTTTTTGACACTCGGCTGGCTTTGTAAAACATGTGTTTTCAGAGCGTTCGGAATGAAAAATAGACATAGTTATTATGTAAAGCCCATCTATTTGACATTCATATGGTCATGATTTGAATATTACAAATGAAACCGATTTTGACAATGATCGAGTTGAACGTGAAGATAACGGTGAGGAAATGAAAGAAAAATGTGATAAAATAACTACCCGTATTAGTACCATCCGCTTCCTTAATATCAACCTTGATATGTAAGTTATAAAGCACATATTGACTAAGTACATAAAATAGCATGCATGTATAACAAAATAATCCGTAAGTTGTTTTATTTTATTGAAGCTCGAGAATGAAAGCGCGCTCAAATTATACTACAAACATACTGTCATTTATAACGTCTTTGCGTATTGCAGAGTCATCTTCTCTTGGGAGCAGGTATTGAGTGTTACGTCACTTGTTTGTGAGAGTAACGTCATCAATTTTTGAGAAAACGACGTAATTTTCTCACACAGACCAATGACGTAACAATCAATACCTGCTCGTCAACAATGAAAGGGTGATGAAAGGCAGAAGAAGGGATGGGTATTAATTAATACGGGATGCAAACTCATCTTTTATTCTATTCAGTTCCTGACAACACTTTTTTAAGTCATATATATTTCAGGCTATGCGGCTGTACGATTAAATCTGAAAAAAATATCATTCACCGGACCAGGGTATTCGAATGGCAAAAATTAAATCTTGTCACTTCAGTGTTCAATATTGGTCAACTTTGACATTGGAATCAAATGATCCCGGACCGCTATGCAGATTTACCCCCTTATTTTTAAGATTCTTAAAATGCCCTAGTGACAGTTACCCGATGTCCA